AACCCAATGGGGTGACCCCAAACCCAATGGGGTGACCCCAAACCCAATGGAGGGGACTGGACCCAACAGGATTTACCCCAAACCCAATGGAGGGGGCTGGACCCAACAGGATTTACCCCAAACCCAATGGGGTGACCCCAAACCCAATGGGGTGACCCCAAACCCAATGGGGTGACCCCAAACCCAATGGGGTGACCCCAAACCCAACGGGTTGATCCCAAACCCAACAGGATTGACCCCAAACCCAACGGGGTGACCCCAAACCCGCCGCAGGTGAAGGAGGTCGGCGCCGTCGTCTACAACTGCAGCTGCCTGGCCCAGGACTTGGCCAAGATCTTTGAGGCCTACTGGGCCCTGGGCGTGCCGGGGGCCTCCATCCCGTCCCCGTGGCCGGCGAGTTTCTCCACCTCCTTCAACCTGAAGACGCCGCTGGCGCTGACGCTCAACGGCACCAACGCCACCGTCTACTTCTCGGTACGCGCCCCACCCACCGGGGGGGTCCCGTTGGGTCCTGTTGGGTCCTGTTGGGTCATGTTGAGTTGCGTTGGGTCCCATTGGGTCACGTTGTGTCCCGTTGGGTCCCATTGGGTCCTGTTGGATGCCATTGGGTCCCATTGGGACACGTTGGGTCCCTTTAGGTCCCGTTGGGTCCCGTTGGGTCCCATTGTGTCCCGTTGGGTCCTGTTGGGTCCCATTGGGTCCTGTTGGGTGCCATTGAGTCCCATGGGGTCCCATTGGGTCCTGTTGGGTCCCATTGGGTCCCGTTGGGACACGTTGGGTCCCTTTAGGTCCCGTTGGGTCCCGTTGTGTCCCGTTGGGTCCCATTGAGTCCCATGGGGTCCCATTGTGTCCCGTTGGGTCCCATTGAGTCCCATTGGGTCCCATTGTGTCCCGTTGGGTCCCGTTGGGTCCCGTTGGGTCACCCCCCGCCCCGGGTGCCCCCCCGGCAGAGCTCCCCTCCCCCGCTGTGCGCCGAGGGCCGCACGGCCGACCTGGACGCGCTGCTGGACGTCATCGACGGCGCCGCCGCCTTCGTGGACGTGGCGGTGATGAGTTACCTGCCCGGCACCGAGTTCTCGCGGCCCGAGCGCTTCTGGCCGGCCATCGACGACCGGCTGCGCCGCGCCGCGGTGGAGAGGGGCGTGGCCGTGCGGCTCCTGGCGGGGTGTTGGGGGCACAGCCGCCCCCAGATGTTCCCCTTCCTGCGCTCCCTCGC